AAGGAGGAGAAGAAGAGAAAAGAGGAGGAAAAGAAACGCGAGGAGAAGAAGCGCAAGGAGGAGGAGAAGAAACGGGAAGAGAAGAGGAAGCTCGAGGAGCAGAACCTGAAGAAGAAGCAGGAGGAAGAGAAGAGAAAGAAAGAGGAAGTGAAGAAGCAGGAAGAGAAGCAGAAGAAGGAGGAAGAAAAGAGGAAAAAGCTGGAAGAGGAGCAACGGAAGCAGGAGGAAGAAAGGATGCGGTACGATTCGTTAATCCTAGAGTTTTCTCGACGTCGAGTTTTCATATTTAGAACACAAAATTCCAAAGAAATTATTGAATTGTTTAACACGTTGACTGCCACGAGAATTATAGTAAAATTTATTCCTTTATAACAGAGGAAAATAGTGTTAGAAATAATTATTAATGTTTTGGTATTACACTATTACCTAGCTTCTCGAGTCACTAAATATTTTGATTCAATATCAATTTTCTTGTAATTGTTTTCACCGTGGCAGTCGATGCGTTAAATAACGAGAGACCAATGGACGGTTTTCCTTTCCTCCGGAAGTTCAGAGTTCGATGTACAATTTAACTTCCTCCTTGAAAGGTTTTGAATATTTTAAAGAATTCTCGTCCGCAAAGGGTTAATGCAACCAAGATGATATTAAAAAATACTGACGAAATCCATTACTTTTAGGAAAGAAGCAGAGGCCCGTAAGCAGGCGGAAGCGGAAGAGCAAGCCCGGCGAGCGGAGCAAAGACGGCGGGAAGCGGAAGCGTTGCGCAAGCTGCAAGAGAGGAGTAAAGCACCTTGGGCACAGGCACCCCGTGCACCGCCACCTCCCACGCCGATCAATTCGTTCGCCGAAATCCAAAGACTCGAACGAGAAAAGAAAGCTGTACGCAAAGATGACACCTAAAACATTGGGGAGCTCTAACGAACTCCACAGTGACATTCTCATCTGCGTTACAGGAAGAGCAACGGTTTCAACAAATGATGCAGCAGCAGCTGGCGCAGCAGAAAGCTATGGAGGCAGCTCAAGAGGTGACAGCTGCCGACTCGTCCAAAAGGCTTCAGTTCAAATGGGCGGAGAAAGCGACGGCCTCCGCAAAGCCCTTACAAGTGAAAAGCCTCGCGCAAATCCAGCAAGAGGAACAAGAACGCATCGCCAAGGTAAAGGTACTTATTACTTTCCCCATACTCTGCTGGTGTGCAGTCGCTGCTAGATTACTCGATGAAATCATGGGTCATTCTGACCCATTTGATAGTTCTAGTGTTAAAAGTATCCAAACCCACGCTAAAATAGGTTACACTCAATTAGAGTTGCGAAACTGTAAACTAGAAACACACTAATAGTAGGTACCAATGATAGTGAATGCTGGAGATTTCGTGAAATGTTGGATGTCCGTTTGAAATCTCGTTTGCACGATAATCATTGAAGCCGATGCTTCAGCAACAGGAGAGGGAACGTCAGGAGAAGGCGGGCCAGAAGGAGTCAACGAACGTGCTGCAGAACGCAGGGATCTGGGGCACCGCTTCTCAGTGCTTGAACTGGACCAACTCCAACGCGTCCAGCGGCGGTCAAGCGTGGTCCAATAACACCGGTACCAGTGGCTTCTGGGATGACCCAACGCCCGTGAAATCCTCGGCAACCTCCAAGCAGCCGGTGAAGCAGCCAGCTATAGTCAAGTCTCCTTCTGCCAATCAGACACAGCAAAGCAACAAGGCGAATAAGAGTAAAAATAAGAGGGAAGAGGAATTAGTTAAGAAACTGTTCGAACAGAACACTGCCAAGGCAGACGACTTCACGCAATGGTGCAACAAGGCACTGAGCGGTTTACAAGTGTCCGTGGATAGTAAGTGATTAAGATCATTCTTTGATACAGTGTTCTCATCGGTTCGTTCTAATTGATTTGTTTAATTTGTTACAATCTGTAGTACCCACGTTCGTCGGATTCCTACGGGACATCGAATCTGCGTACGAGGTTAAGGAATATGTTCGAGACTACCTCGGTGATAATAAACAGAGCTCAGAGTTCGCCAAGCAGTTCTTAGATAAACGCAGTAAATGGCGATCAGCTCAGCGACCACAAGCACAGGCAGATGATCTCTGCAAACCAGCGCCTGCCGTGAATCCAAACGCACCCACAGAGTTTCAGGAAGTGAAGGTACCATTGAACAGGCTGAAGAACTTTAGTTTGAACCGTTTGGGTCTTATACCTTGTGCTTGGCCAACGTACAATTGAAATGTTTAATATCTTTATAAATAATGCTTGCTGGCAGAAACGGGCGAATACGTGTCACCTTATTTTTAGTTTAGACTGACCACAAAAGTATTGGAAACATTAGAAACGGTATAAGATCTTTAATGAATTTATAAAATATTGGAAATATTAGAAATTTATCATTTTATCTGTGCAAGAGATCTGTCGAACTTCCGTTTAACGCAGATCCGTATCTTTTCCGCAGGGAAAGTCGAAGAAGCCAAAGAAAGGAAAAATGTACAAAGTCGATAATAGAATCCTTGGCTTCAGCGTGACCGCGGCGCCGGACCGTATCAACGTTGGCGACCGCGACTACGGTGAAGGTGTGTGAATCACCGGAGAACCGTTCCCGACCCCTCACCACGGAAATTCGCGACGCTTGGCCCGTTATCACAACTATGGTTCGTTATTTATTTATTGTAGATGCCAAATGACAGTTCTAAGGAACCCGTTACGAGTGACTTCATTAAAGAAAAAACAAAAAAATGGAAAAAAACCGTATTTCACGTGCATACACATAATATATACATATACACTTAAGATTTCTTTTTCTATCGTTAACGTCAAGGACTAATCTCGGTAATCCCCCACGTTTCGCGTCCTCTCACTCGGCGGATCGATGGGAGAGCCTTAGACGCGCCGATCCTCGCAGCGTGGCAATTGTTTCCTTCTTAAGAAAAACCAGAACTGAAACGAAATAATACTCGGGACGAGAGAAAATGGGGGAAGAAAAGAGGTGACACGACCACCGACTCGCTGTTGTACATAATTCAACCGAACAAATAATGGCGGACGGAACCATCATCCACTTCTCTACAGTAAGGGAAACGATGTGACACGCCTCGCGTTAGCGTGCAATTCATTTCTCCCGGACGATTCGTCGTTGTTCTTCGTCGTGAGCCAAAGGATCTACGCCGATCGATAACGTACACGTCCTCGGTCGAGAAAGCAATAACGTATTCACTGGAGGATGGAACGAGAAAAAGAGACAAGAGGCAAACAAAGAAAAAAGGACACAGCATAGAGGAACGAGGAGAAAGTAATTTGTTAATCGTGCCGGTTCGGACACGGTGTTGATTGATGAGTGCGCATCCGGTCGTCGAGCCAACGAACGCGCCGAGTGTCGACGTGTATATGAATCCTATGGATTTCTTGTTTTATCGCGACATCGCTTGATCGCCTTGGAATATCATACCCATCACTACCCGAAGGAATCATTCGCAACCCTCTGGAAAGCTTCTGTTCGTTGGTCATTGGCGATTCAAATGTTTCCGTTTCTACGGGGGAGGAGGGATTCGTGGAAGAAGAGGTATCTCACACCATAAACGAGGCGATCGTGTACTCTCCGATAACCGAACGACTCGACGAAATACTTAAATCGTCGGCTCGAGATGACGACGACGATGACGACAACGACGACGACGACGACGACAACGACGACGACGACCTTCTAGTACTTTCTTAACGCTTCGAATGAACCGACGTGGAGGGGAAATTTGTAAAAAAGAAAAACAAGAAAAAAAAAGAGAGACAAAGGACGACGATGATAATGATAGTACTTGCATGTGTACAATTTCTAGAAAGGAAAGGAATGAGATATGTTTCGGTCGCTGCCATGTGGATCTCGTTCTGTTTCATTGGTAAACGGACGGACGATTGGAAAGAGAAGCGGTACCATGTTTCGCTGTTCCGTTTCATTAGTCGTTGGCCAGCCTCTACCGGATTACGAGGCAAAGATGATTCCAACGGGGACGTTCGAAGAGAGACACGCCGATCTTTTCTTTTTCCCCTTTTTGATTTCTTCATTTTCTTGGTCGGTCGGTGGAGAGAACTGTCGGAAGCGTGAAATTAATCGGCAGGAATATATATATATATACTCTATCCGCGAGCCGAGCGGCGAATGTCACGACAGATCTGACCGCTCTTGATAATTATAATGGTTGTTGATTAAGGTTCGTTGGTCTTCTCTTAATAACGCGATGGAGACGGCGATAATACCGTTTAGGAGAAGACCACAGAGCCTTGAGTGAAAGATTTATGTATAAATAGATAAATGTACAGTAATACAAGGATAATTAATTAGGCAGATACAAGAAACAAATCATTGATATCGTATTATTATTATTATTAATTATTAATTATTAATTATTAATTATTATTATTAATTATTATTGTATATA